AGGACCAGGACATCACCTCATCAAAAAGTTAAACTGGTATCAAGCCCTCTTTGCAAGAAGATTTGCCTCATAGGACCAGCCTCTTACCAGCTGTTGCATGTTGATCACATCTACTGGTCACACACTCACACTTATTACATTAATGGAGCTGCTAATCCCACCATAAGCCTTTGTAACTGTTCGTGCAGGCAGATCAATCAAACGCTGAAACGTATTTTTAACAGAACGAGTCAAAATGTTCAATCTTATTACGCAGTCACTGCTCTTTGTTTAAGTAGATGGCCCATGTGGTGCGTTTTTAATAAAGCAGCTTTATAACTCACCTCCACGACAGCTATTTTTAGCTATATATTATTATTTCTTATCACTTGTCTTTAAAGCCTTATTGTTGTTGTTATTATTACTGATCTCAGGAGTTTTCCAGCATTTAAATAAGAAGTCTTTGAGTCTTACATGTTTGTGTTTCAACAGCCGCCTGTATTTAACGGTAACTGTTCTATCTGTTGTTCCTGTCTTTAATGAAGAACCAATTAACACTTAGAGAGCTTTCCATAAATAAACAACAATCAATGTCAAGGTCAGTCACAGAGAGGCAGACATCCAGAAGACTTTTACAGAGAAAGAGAAAAATGTTAATGAGGAAAGTTTATTAATAACTAGATCGTTTTCTTTTAGCACAGGAGCAAAGCTTTCTAGTATTTCCCCATTAACTCTTTACTCATGCTGGTCGTACACACGTGTAGATGCTACAGTATATGAGGATTATTTTATGTAAGGTTCAAGGTTCTTTATTTGTCACATGCATAGTTATACAAGTATAACACACAGTGAAATGTAGCCTGACACGCTGCTCAACATGTGCAAAAATGGGTAGAGGAAGAACATTATATATATATATAGTATATACATTGGGTGAATGTGCAGTAGTAGCAGCAAGCAGGTGAATTCTGTACATTAAGTGAATTAAATAAGAATAGACAATCTGACTGTTTTACAGAATAGACAATATAAAAATATTTAAAATTAAAATCATAGAAAAGTGGTTCTCTCCTCCCACCACCATGTTTCAGATTAAAATGTAATAATTTTGGACATCTGTCAGCTTACTGCCGTACCACCCTGAGCTTGTCTGGTTTCAGGAGCTAAGCGGGGTCGGGCCTGGTTAGTACTTGGATGGGAGACGTCTGTTACATGTGTTTATGTCTTGTGTGTCAGATGTATAATATTATTTCTTACCTATTTGATTAAATATAAAATTAAGTGTGAAGTTTGGTACACGGTGTGGTAGTTCTTCAAGAAGGGGGATCGGAGAAAGTGTACCAGCTTCAGGGGATCGTGCTTCTCAGCCTCCCTGGGACTATGTCAGGGTGCTGGAGACGAGTATCCACCTGGTGCTCAAACCTCAGAGAAGCAGCTTTTGTCTCGGTCACAGAAACTGAGACCAGCTCTTCATCCTGTCAAGGATATTTAATAGGGGTGGGGAAAAAATGGATACTGTGTAGCATGGTGATATTTTGTTTGCTAATAATGTATGGATACAGGGACAGCAGAAATCGATATTTTGTTACAAAAAGGTTTTTGTGCTCTGACTTCAGAGCATGTTGATCCTTTTTCTGAGCAAGAATCCTGACATTCCTTCACTGTCCAAATGTGTTTAATAAACATGACAGTTTACTTATTTTAATTTAAGACATGTTTTATTTTAATTAAGTTTAAAACTTTTTTATTTAATGTAAAATTATATTTTGTTTTAATTGACTTTCAAATTCTTCAGTTGCTGAAGGGGCTGCATAGTTTTCATAAACTGCATAGTTCAGAATAGCTATAATTGTACCAGATGGTTGATTCAGTTAAGTTGGACTAGACTGTAATACAAACCGTTCAGTTTGTCAACAATCAAACTGAAATGAGAGAAAGACTGAGTGTGAGACTTTGATATTAGAGAAAATGAATATTGATAAAGTTTACCTTTATGTACAGAATCTGAATATCGCAAAATATTTTAAAAAATTGCAATAATATCGTATCGTGGGATGTATGGTGATTCCTACCTCTAATATTTAAGCGTGGATGGGAGTAGTCGTACTAGTACCATTCAACCACATGCCTTCAGTTATTGTGCAGGTGCTTTGGGAGTATGGGATATCATGCTCGTTGTTGCAAGCTATTTGTCCCTGCAACACCAGTCTGGTCTGCATTGGTCTGACTGGTTCTTGGTGGGTGTTGGGCTCTCCCAGGGCTGCTCTTTGACACCAATGCTCTGCATCATTGTTATGAACAGAACTGTAAGCACAGTCATGGGCACATGGTGTCTGGTTCAGTTTTAGCTCTGGCAGATGACGTGGTTTTGTTGTTTCATGGAGTCATGACTGCCAGCTTGTACTGGAGCTGTGCTCACCCACAGAGACGGGCTGTAGAGTCCAGACATTTGGGGTAGAGTCCGTGCTCTTCTGTGTCGACAGGAGGCAGTTGGGATGGGACGATGACCAGGGGCACCTTCTCTGTGGGGCGGTCCAGTAATGTCCCACCAGGCGGAGACCTCGGGGAAGACCCAGGATACGCTGGAGAGATCTTTTGGTTGACTTGGATGGATATGCAACATACCAAAACAGACTTTTAACAGATTGTAACAGGTGATTGTGGCACTGTTACTATTTTCAGGTGGTCTACTGTTTTTGGTGAGTCTTAACTACAGACATTGGTGATGCTAAATTAAAAGAAAAAGAATTTTTATTTTAAAAGCTCGTCCGTGGCATCATGCAGAGATTCAATGGTTTGACATGAAATGATAATTTACCGTAACTCATAAATGAATATAATATTTGGTCATCTGCCTCGAGATGCATATTAATGTCAGTGACTTCCATTCTTAATTCATATTTTCTAAAGATGCTGACCTGCTGTTTGCCACTATAACACCTTCAGCTCTGCTGGGAAGGTTTTTCATGAGGTCTAGAAATTGGTTTATGGGAATTTTTGACCATTCCCATTTTAATTGAGACTCCAGGTGTCTGGAAAGCCTCATCAGAAAACAACCAAGTCAGTCGTTAAGTAAACTATGATAGTTAGTCAAGCTAAGCGAGGTATTCAGATATGCTTCTACCTAGCAATAGGTTCCAGTTACAGGGTAGAGGGGATGCAGAATCTCTCCGGTGCATTCTGGGTACCCTAAAGTCATTTGGGTCTGCCTGAGAAACCTCCAACAGGAGCCATCCTAACCAGATGCCTGAACCACATCACATGAGACCTTTCAACATGGAGGAGCAGCCAAAGTTTTGCCTTCCTTTGCCAACCTGACGCACACCAATCTGCCAGTCCACCTCTCACTCCACCTTCCCATCACTCCCATCACTTTGCATAGATGCAGCCACTTTCCCCAACCCGGAGCGAGCAGTCTCTGGTACGATGACCTCAGGCTCTGAGGAGCTGATCTTTCTGTCATAATCTAAACGGATAAACAAGCTTTGATGCTGTTATATTAGCTCTGCTTCAGAAGAGAAGGAAATCTGTTCATTTCATGGTTAAACTTTGCACAATAAGTGAGGCGTTAAATCTGCACAGCTGTTACTGTGTAACCAAAAGGTTTTCTTTGAAGCTTGTAGACGTCGCAGAACTGTCGCGCTACTAATAAGACTGACATTCGAACGCTTCACAGTCAGACTGTCCCTCCAACCAGAGGTGGACATGTTTGTCACTTTAAATGTTATAACTGGGCCCTGATTTTGGTTTCCGCTCACCGTCGCTGCATCGTTTCCTTCTCGAAGAATCAGGCGGTGTATTTCAGTGAAAATGAGTATTTTTTTGCAAGTGTTACCATAATTATTAATTATTTAACTACAAATATACAAATACGATTTTCTAGTAATCCTCAGTACATCAGTTTTTGTTTTTTTCTTAACTGTTGTAAAAAAGTGTTTCTGTTTGTCTCTAAATTTGAGTTTTCAGAGCAGGAAAAAAGTGCAAAATTAAGTGAAAGTAACTATTAAAATGAAATTGGGTCACAGCAAACATGTGTGTGTGTGAAAAAATATTGTTTAAATACATTTAAATCTCAAGGCTGTCGTCATTATTGACGAGGACGTAACCTCTCTGGGATTAATAAGTGCCTTTACAGAAACGGACCACACAATGTTTCATTGTTTAAATCTATATATATAGATATATATAAATATATAGAGATATAAATATATTCCAAATATATTCTATAACAATTAGTTGAGTCTAAAAGTGACAAGAAAAACAAAAAATTGGACTTTTGGTTTACAAATTTCCACACTAAATGTTTTTCTTTGCGCAACAAAAGACAATAAATGTTAGTGCTATTTTGTACATTTACATGTGCACAGTTTTTCATGGCGCGATCCCTGAATTTGATTTAGCTGCTGACCTAAACCAAAATGTTATTTAGGTTTTTGTGCAGGTATTCTTTATTCTAAGTAAATCCCAAATAATTGCACTAATATGTGCCCCATCTTTCCATAAGCTGCACAGCAGGATCTAAATACACATTAGAGTCTTATTGGTGAAAAATCAGGGCCATGTGTTCAAACCCTTCTTAGAACCTTCTTACTCACCAAGAGGCTTCAAGAATAAACTGACCTAAGGGAACTTGTTAGTCGGTTCTGTTAAAATACCCAGAGGATACGCAATGGTCAAAATGTAAAGGTTATGAGGTTAGGGAAGGATCGCGGTTAAGATCATTCTTGTATCATATGCGACGCCTCCTCTGTCAGGTTTTTTAACCATTTGTGTTTTCGTGGACCAGCTTTAGATTTGCTCTGTGAGATGTTTCTTACAGTAGGTGCATCATGTAATGTCTTAATCTGTGACATCGCCACTGTCTGTGGTACATCACGGATTTGTGAAGTGTAAGATTAGAGCCCTATGTCGTCATAAATCTCTGCTTCCCAATTCGGCCGGGTGGTGGCGGGTGGGGCAGTTGCAAGGTGTTGTTTGTGGTCTGTGGATTTGTTGGATAAAGCGTTTGCTCCTAAGTACGGTCAACTCCATCCCGTCCTTTTAGATCAGGAGCTATTTTCTTCATTTCGTGGCTTGATGCCAGCTCAGGTTTTTCTTTTTTGAGAGCAGATAGTTCTCCGGGTAGACCCAGAAGTTTTTATGGTGCTCTGCTGAAGGTCTTCATCATGAACTATTGCATTCCCGACATGTACGAGATGCCTCACACCGGCGTCGGGAGCTATCCGGTGCAGGGAGGTGGGGAATATTGCATGTACTCGGACGAAGGGTCCGGGTATGGCAACTGTGAGCCTCAGCCCCTTCATCATCCACCCTGCATGGAGCAGGCTTGGTCCCCCAGCCAGCACTACTCGTGTTCCTACGCCGCTGGTCCTTCTGTTTTTAAGAGTGAGTTTTGCAGCATGGAGGTCCCTCTCAGTCACTTCCACCAGCCTGAGTACTTCCCCGAGATCAAACCTGAGTTTTCACACCTGCGGTGGATGCAGAGTGCGCACAGAAAAGGTACGACATGCAGGCTGTGATTATTTAGCTCTTTAACAAAGTACCTGAGGGGCTGGAGCTGCAGCTCGGACGGGCTCAAGTTAAGTTGTTGAAGTTGCGAGTAACTTAAACAGTCTCCACTGTCTGTAATTAACTGGGTTAGTGTGTGTGTGTGTGTCTATAATATAACAGACTTGTAATACACTTGCTCAAACTGATAATTGGTCCTTCTTGATCGTCGATCAATGATGTCTGGGATTTTCGAATTAAGTCCGATGAGCATAAATCCAAGACATAAGGCCTCGTGCGCTGGTCTGTGATCAGGGCCTGTTGCTGTGTTTGATTGAGGTAGACGGGGCTCCTTATTGATTGCTGTTGAGGCAACAGAAGGCTGACAAAAGATATTGATCAGTTTGTTAACCTGCTGTCCTGGTGACAGAACTCACTCAACCCAATCTAGATAGACTCCACAATATTAGAGTCTCCAAAGATTTGTGTGTTCGAAGCATCAGAGTTTACCTGCCACTCCACACTCTGCTGTTAGCAAGTGTGTTTGCTAATCTAGAGCATTCAGGTAACTACTAAAACGATCCCACAGGTTCCCAAGAGCCTCAACAAATTCACCCCATGGTCATATTCAGAAAATGCCAAAACTCCAACACCAACATCTCAGACTCTACAGGCTTCAGTTAGCATGTTCATAGCAGCAGAATTAGAAAGAGACTGAACATCGCCAGAAGAAAGCCTCTAAAATAACATGACAGCGTGGCTTAGACTTAGGAACAAACCTCAACACCTTGAGAACTTTGCAAAGCAGCGACATCTGGAGATAAAGCACCGTGTTTGGAGAAAACCAAACACAGCAGGGCAGCACAAATGCTGCATAGCAACTGTCAAGGACAGCAGTGGAGCAGTGATGATTTGGGCTCGTTTAGCAGCCACAGATCCTGAATACCTGATAGTCTCTGAGCTGACCACGAACGTCTCTGTATACCAAAGTATCCCAGACTCAAGCTAAAGCTGAGGCTCGGCCTTGGGGGGAGTGGTGCCTGATCAAAATCTACACCTCAACTCTGTTGAAAGGCAGTGTCAGAGCTGCAAATCTCAACAAAGTGAAGAAATATTATAAAGAAGATGGACCAGCGACAGACGTGCCCACTGCTGAGTCCTGGGGGGGGTCATGTTACATCATGTAGTGTGTATTTAATGCAAATGCACACATTCATTCATATATGTGTGTGAGTGTGTATACATTTATTTTTACTACTGTGCAAAGAATAGTACATCGCCCCAATTTTAATTAAAATCTAATAAAAAATGAACGTGTTTGGAAAAACATTGAGAACGCCAGTCGTCAAATTTACTCGACTTATTTTTAAAATGAAAACAAACAATCCAGTTTCTGCTTCTTTCCTCTCTAGGGTACATACCAAGTTACCTGGACAAGGATGAGCTATGCGTAGTGTGTGGGGACAAAGCTACAGGCTACCACTATCGCTGCATTACCTGTGAAGGTTGCAAGGTAAACCATGTGACCACGTGGCCTCAGCTTCCGTCGGCCTTCGCCGTCTCCCCGTTCTGATCACTTCGCCTTCTGTTTTCTAGGGATTCTTCAGGCGGACCATCCAGAAGAATCTCAATCCAACGTATGCCTGTAAGTACGAGGGCAAATGTGTTATTGACAAAGTGACCAGGAACCAGTGCCAGGAATGTCGCTTCAAGAAGTGCATCGCAGTGGGAATGGCAACAGACTGTGAGTGGCCTCAGCAACAGGATATTTGTCATCTTTTATGTCACTTTTGCATTTCTCCTGTTCTTCAATTGGAAAAAATGAATTCTGACATTTATTTACAAAAACAATGACATTTATAAAGAAAGTGCGGAATTAGTAACAAAATCAACAAAGAAAAGTTGGATTTAAAGAAAGTTCATCACCTGAAATATATTTACTCCAAATAAGAGCAGTGATGATTTTTCACCACATGGAAAATGATGGTTTATTCACGTGTTGTTTGATTGTTTCACATTTTTCATCCAATGGAAAGTTTGTTTCCATGTGTGGCTCTAAAGCTTCCTGCTACATTGTATCTGTATCATTTTTGAGCGTGAGCTTTCTGAAAGTCCAAAACATGAAACGGTTCAAAACACAAGAACAATCATGAACACGTGTCACGTCAGCGGGATGTCGTGTTCTCGTGTTGGAACAACTCAGCGAGTCATCATTTTATGCCCCCCTACCCTCCCCCCTCCTCTCCCTCTTTCCTTTTCCTTCCCGTCTACTCTCTTGGCCTCCCTTGGCCCCCTGCTGACCCCCTTTATTTGCCCCAGTGGTGTTGGATGACAGCAAGCGGCTGGCCAAGCGGAAGCTAATCGAGGAGAACCGGGAGCGCCGTCGGAAGGAGGAACTGCAGAAGACGGCGTGGGACCGACTGGAGCCCACCCAAGAGGAGTGGGACCTCATCCGCATGGTGACCGAAGCCCACATGGCCACAAACGCCCAGGGCAACCACTGGAAGCAGAAGCGGAAATTCCTGGTGAGACATCGTCCTCCTCCTCCTCACCAAAGCCTTGATTGTATCGATTACTGTGCCTCGTTCAAACCACCAACCCCCCCGACCCCCACCTACCTCCCCCTCCCGCCCATCTCAGCCCCCTTCACGTCCCCGTCTCCTCCTCTTCCACCATTGTTCCACTGTTCCCTATGTTAATATGTCCATGTGTTTTTTTGTATCTCCTTGTAGAGTGGGGAGAATTAGCTGGACGATGGAGAAAAGTGTTTCCTCAACGCAGCAGCACTAATTTATATTGGAACATCTTACTCTTGTCTTATGTTTTGCCGAGCTGCAACTCTTAATCGCTAATACTAATGACTTGCTTTTTTTCGTGCTGTTTAATTTTCCTCTCTTTCTGTTTGTAGCTTTTGATTTCACACCTCACTCTGTTTTTGACTAATTTTGCTTTTTCTGTTAAGTTTGATTACTCTGTCCGGAGCTGTTTGTTGGCGTTGTACTGAGTTTCTATGGCACGATTAAAGGGAACGCTCATTAATTATTTGATCGGCGGGGTTTGGCAAAAAAAGAAGGGTTATTTTTCAGGATAGTGGGGAAACATCTGTTGTTTTTCATGCAATTTGTTTCAAAAAGTGAAAACGTAACCAGGTCGCATTCAAAGATCCAACGAAGAGCGTTCCCGAGGACCCGTTCGATCCGTGGTCCCGAGTCTTGCTGTGGAAACTCGTGTCCTATTTCTGTCTTTACCTGTTTTCTGTCTGCGCACTCTTTCATCTGTCTTCAGTTTTAACTTGTTTTATTTTAGTTGGCTTGACACGGGTTCTTCATTGAAACTTCACGATTCCTGTTGATTATCCAACAGGTCGAGGAAGCAATGCTTCTTAATGAAATAACATGTAATTTATTCTATACTTCTGACCAGAGTGCAGCGGGGGTGAAGGAAACTAAGGTAAGACAGCAGATACACGGTTTGGTTGAGCCTAACGACGGCTTTTTTAGCCATTTACGTGTAAAATAACAAATGATGCGATGAAACCAGCTGATGTCCACTCCTCGCTCTTTCAGCCTGAGGATATTGGTCAAGCGTCCACGGAAAATGCACCTGAAGGAAGTAAAGTGGACATAGAAGCCTTCAGTCAGTTTACAAAAATTATCACCCCTGCCATAACCCGAGTGGTGGACTTTGCCAAAAAACTGCCTATGTTCTGTGAGGTGGGTTTGAGTGGAAACGGTGACTGTGGATGTGTCACTGAGTGGTTACAGAGCTGTATTCAGACTGAATATGAATTTTTCACAGTCTTTGACGTAGCTGTCCCTGAATAAGCCGTTCTTCTCTTTAACCAGCTGCCTTGTGAAGACCAGATCATCCTGTTGAAAGGCTGTTGCATGGAGATCATGTCGCTGCGGGCTGCCGTTCGCTACGATCCAGAAAGCGAGACCCTCACGCTCAACGGCGAGATGGCAGTGACACGAGGTCAGCTCAAGAACGGAGGCTTGGGCGTAGTCTCAGACGCCATCTTTGACCTTGGCGTGTCGCTGTCCTCCTTTAACTTGGATGACTCTGAGGTGGCTCTTCTGCAAGCTGTTATCCTGCTTTCATCCGGTAATCGCCTGAGTGCACACTTACCGAGTACATAAGAGGTTATTAAAGGGTTTTCTTTCTTCTAGGTCTCGCTCTGTTTTAGCACAGTGGTGTTACTGCGTTCTTATTGCACGGTTGGTAACGTCGGCTTACAGGGAACAGCGCGAATCTGCAGCTGCACAGCTTGTGTGAATACTTGGTTTTGACATGAAATCTATATCAAACCACAGTTTAATCAATTAATCAGCGTAATCATTGTGAGGGGCTTTGGCTTGTTTTGGGCTCCACTGGCATTTCTCTGTAATACTCTCATTGAAGATCAATACTCTTTATGGTGCAGACCCATCTGTCCTGACACTTCACAGTATCCACTGACGCTTAGATAACACTGCTGTTAGGGCAGCGAGTCGCTTTGGGATAGAAAGTTAATTATTTGTGTTTATTGATCATCTTTAAAAAATGTTGTTTCGTACTATTTGTACCAAAAAAGAAAAATAATTGTGAGTACAGCAATAAATGACACTGTAGTGCAGGGGTGTCAAACACACAGTGGGCCAAAATTCAAAACTGGAACAAAGTCGCGGCTAACATTAATATTTATTGAAAAAAAATCTTCCTCCAGATATAAGAATAAATCTTTTCTTATGTATGGAACACCAGGACTGCCATAATGAATTAATTAAATACACCATTAAATAATTAATTAAATGTGTCAATAATTAATTAAAATGTGAAATACATAAATAATTAATTAAATGTGTCAATAATTAATTAAAATGTGAAATACATAAATAATTAATTAAATGTGTCAATAATTAATTAATTAAATGTGTCAATAATTAATTAAAATGTGAAATACATAAATAATTAAATGTGTCAATAATTAATTAAAATGTGAAATACATAAATAATTAATTAAATGTGTCAATAATTAATTAATTACATGTGTCATAACTATTTATTTAATTAATTATTTCCCATTTTAATTAATTATTTAATGGTGTATTTAATTAATTCATGGCAGTCCTGATGTTCCATACTTATGGACTCAAACATGTTTTGCTGAAAAACTGAATATGGAACAAGTAAAGCTTAATACTAAACAATATATATATTAGCTGTATGATACCAGTAGGCCAGAGCTGGCCTAATAATAATAATTTTGGCTTCGCGGGCCAAATGTAATTAGGCTGCGGGCCAAATTTGGCCCACGGGCCAGAGTTTGACACCTATGCTGTAGTGTATCCACAGCGCCTGTGTTTAACTCGTTTTCAGTCAGAAATGACATGAGAGTCATTCAAGTGCATGACCCAGTGTGTGCACACATGAACACGGTGTATTTGTCCTGGATCTTTATTTTGGACATGTTTAAATAGTAGAACAACAACAACAGAGAAAAAACAAACAAAACAATAATAATTAAAGCTGCAAGCAGCGTTATGAGGGCCCTCGCACCCCCGGCACATGAGTTTTTGACCATGTTTAGGCCCTCAAAAAGGCCCTTGTTTTGCCTGAATAATAATAAGAAGAAGAAGAAACGGAGCAGATACAATAGGGCCTTCGCACTCTCAGTGCTCAGGCCCTAATTATAAATAACTTACATGTTCAAAAACGAGCAGGAAGCAGCATGAGCTCATTTAATCCAACCTCCTGTTCATGCCGTCTCCATCACAAGTTCTTCATCATCATTTCTTACATGGATTTTTTTATAACCTCAGTAACACGTATAAAGATATACGTTTACAGATATATCCACACACCTGATCAGAGCCCCACCTCCACCACGTTTGTTCCAAACCATCCCAAATATTACAGGAACTGACAAA